GACCCAAAAGGGATAAAAAAGGGATAAAAAAAAAAAAAAAAAAAAAAAAAAAAACACACCCCGAACCAAAAAACCCACTGGAACTATTCCCACTGTAAAGTGGGGTTGAGTCAGTAACAATTATTTTCATCTGGGAAGCAGGAAATGTCATTTTGCAAAACTGACTTTACTCTTTGCTGGAAAATGACCAACTTTGCTTTGCTTGTGATTTAGAAACGTATCTTTCACATTTTTTGAAACTTTGTATTTTCATATTTATTTCATTGGATAGCACAGAAACACCACACACCACTTCCTATTTCAGGGCAAGAAAGTAATTTTTTTCCCCATTTTTATTTTTCCATTTTATGGAACACATTTTGGTTGAAAGGCTATATACTGAAATTTCCAAATGCTATGTTTAAAATACACCTCTGATTTTTTATTTTTTTTTGAAATTCACTAGAAGATATTTCCACTTTGAACTCAGAGAAGTTAAAATATCTTTGATGCCTTCCCTGACGGTCAGCTTTTTATGTTTCTGGAATGATCTGCACACAAAATTTGATTTAATGCACTACTCAGGCTTCCAAATAAACTAGTACAGACTCTTGCAGACTTTTTTGCAATCTGATGGTGAAACTCATTAGGCAAATTATTTCCAGTAAATTGCTCCCTTCACCCTCACCGAGTACTACCGCATTTAAGACTTGTGGAAACATTTTATTTTGAGATAACAGTGCTGATGCTACTGTCCAAGAACAATAGAGGACGATTATAGATTTCATAGACCATCTAATCTAATTCCTGTATAAACAGGCCATAGGCCTTTTTTTAAATTAAATGCCATTTCAAGTCCAATAGACACGGTTGAACTAAAGCACAGTTCTGGAAAGAAAAAAAGAGAGACATCCACAGATAAAGAACGTGCAACAGCATACTGTATCGTAACTCCAGACAAGCGCCACGATCCTGCCCTACCACCCTTGCCTCTCACCGTGCCTGTCATGAGTACGTCAGGGCTCTGTGGAAAGAGCAGCGGTTCAAAGACAAACAAATTTTGACCCATTTTAATGGCAAAGACTTTGCAGCTCACAGCCTGCATTTTCAACACAACAGGCAAGAGGGAAATCTTTTATCCCATTTCCATCTCTCTGTCCCTTAAAAAAAAAAAAAAAAAAGCTAAATGGCATCAAAAGCCTGGGATTTTCAAAGTTTCTTGCAAACGAGCATTTCCCACCTTTGGTGAATTTTTTATGTTTAGGTGCAAACCTGTAGAGATGCCTTTTCAAAGTTGATTACCGTATAGTAAGCACTCAGCAATACACAGTGAGCGGAGCAGTGTCCCACCCTGGCTTCGCTGAAGTCAGCTGGAATTTTGCCACGTAGCTATTACCTGATGCAGATGTGTGTGCCATTGCAGAGCTAATGAGGAGGTGGAATTAAAGTCTTTCAAACACCATTGAGCAAAAAACGGGAGAAAAAGAAATCCTTTTCTCCCCACTCAACACTCTTTGGATAAGTCACTTAAGATCTATGTGTGTGAATTGTTACCACCACCCCAAAACATGGAACAGGGTCACAAAGACCCATTTATTGGATGTCCAGACGTAACTGCAGGAGGGGAGGTGACAGAAAATAGCTAGAACACCAGCGCGCTCTATTCTGACACATCCGTCTGCACCCAGTGACAAGGTGGCATTAACAACACCCCTCACCTACCTTAGCAGGGTGCTACATGGAAGTTTGCACAGTGCTGGCTGCACAGTGGTGTTACGGAAAGTCTGATGACTCCCATTTTCTCCAGGGTTTGTTAGAATAGAAAAACCTAGCCCAGAAAAGTCTCTGTCTAGCATTCTGAAAGAGAAACAACAACAACTGTTTTATTTATATATTTAATTTTTAATTAAAAAATAAAGGTTATCTTAATACATCTCTTGCAGCCTTTGGGCAAAATGCACCCTTAACAAGACTTTATGAAACATGATGCACATCTATTCTTGGCACACATCTTAAACAAACGTGAACTTTCTGCAGCAACTTCTTAAATCCATCATTCTCCCAAAACCCTGAAAACATTTAAATGTTCTTTAAAAAACCCTACAAAAATTAGAAGTGGGCCCAAAGCAAAAGTCCCAGACCCAAGCATCCCAAAACTTTTGGAGCAGACTCAAATCCAAACCCTCATCTCATTCGGAGTTTTATCCTGGATCACTGCAAAGTCACAGACACGGCACCCAAACAACCAAGAGAGACGAAATCTGAATGCTGACCCGGGTACGAATCTCGCTTCAGAAGCTTTGATCTTTAGACTGGGCCAAAGCAAACCTATGGGTCTGAACTCCTTCCTAAAACTGTTTAAGTTGGGCCCATCCCTAACAGAAATAAGCGCTGGTTACACGATGAAATGGTGCTATCGGAGCTCCCCATTTCTTAGCTGTCCCTGATCTGAGGCCAGACCAAGTACTCCGTCCATTTGCACTACTTCAAAAGGCAAGGATAAAGTCAAGCGAACATACTGAACCCTCCAACACAGTCGCATCACTACACATTTGCCTCCCGCAGCATGAAAGGAGCCCTGGACCTCTCCGTTACTTGCCAGGAGCTGTCTCGGGTTTCTAGACGCGGTTCTCTCTGGAAACACGTTCAGGCCTCCGTCACTACCTGTGGGAAGGCTTATGCACACCGCCGGAGGGACGGGTCGTCACCACTCACACGGGATGTCTTTGTTCCACCGTGGCCCACGATGGCTGATTCCCAAAGGCACAAAGTGACCGATCTTTAGACTTTTACACAAGGTCTACATATATATATATATATATATATATATTTATATATATATGTACACACACACAATTACATACATATTTAAATATATATATATACACATATATATATATATATATTTGGTTTTGGTTTTTCTCTTTTATCTTTTTTTGCTTTTCTTTTTTCCCCTTTCCCTCCTAACTTAACGGCGTAGTCTCCTCTGAGGAGGGCTCTGGTATATGTTCTGCAGACTTCTCTGTCTCCAGAGAGACTTCTGGCTTCTCCTCTGTCAATTTAGGCTCCTCGGCAGCTTGACATCCCTCCAGCTCCTGACTCTGAGCCTGGCTGTTCATTTTCTCTTCTGCTTCGATTTCCTCCGAAGTGGGAATGGAGTTTTTCTTTGGACGGCCTTTGGGCTTCGTTGGAGCCTCCTGTCCACCCTTCAGCACCTGGGGCAAAGAGATGAACCGTCAGGATCAATCTGAACTTTGCCACTGTGAGACATCCTTTAGAGAAGGACGAAACTCGGCTTTGACCTCAAAGTTAATCCATGACTTGGTCACCATTTCAGCCTCATTCATGGAGTGAGCTCACCCATTATCTCATATAAATCAAATGAAATGCAAACATTACCAGCAAGGACACCTAAAACTCTAGAGGTGTCTAAGTCAGTTCCTATGGGAGGCCCAAAAGCAACCTATGCACGCAGTCCTCAACACTACACACACAGATGATTTTATGCAGAATTCAGTTCCTTTCCCGAGTGTTTGCTTTATTCAAAGCCCAAGTAAGAACAGTCATAAACCTTAGCCAGGATTTCCTCTGACTGCCTTTCCTCCAGCCCCTTTGGCTTCCAAAATAGCTTTTTTTTTTTTTTTTTCCATAACACCTGCATTAAAATAGGTGAGACCCCTCTCATCTGTGTAAAACGTGGGAGTCAGCAAAACAGGCCTGTGCCTGTGTTTAATTCCCTCTCCCTTCACACCATCATTGCAGCAACAAGACACTTCCAACCAAAGATCTGTATCCAAGCAAATCCCAAATTTGTTTTAAGTGGCAGTAACTTCTGCAGCTGTCACACACATTCAAAGATACAGTCTAGAACTGCATCTCCTCTCCCAGATCAGAATACATAAACATCTCCACTGGAGAATGTCACAGCATCATGGTTCCCACCAGGATTTATCAGACAGTTGTCCTTTCTAAAAGCGTTTTAACTGGAAAAGGGCCATGAAGCTGAGAATAAGTTGAAGAGGTGAAAGGACAATATGAAAAGCGAGAATTGATGATATTAGCTCCCAAAACTGCATTGGTTTCCATGGAGCAATACAATCTTTTTTGTCTATGCGCATAGCCAACCCCACAAGCATTAAGATCACAG